GTGTTCTTAACACAGAAATTCAACAAGGCAATACCAAGTATAGCAACCTTCTATATTTTGGCTCAGAGGTAATAAGCATCTAATTTTATTAATTTGTTATAATGAAATTTTAATTTAAGTGCAGGTCTGTGTTAAGTGTACATTGTTTTCTTTTTAAATTATTTATTTTTTCTCCCCTTGATAGGTTCAACCACATGCTACAGTTCTGGGATTTGAAACACTCTCAAGAGGTTTTACCGGTTGTTTGGATGTTGTTCAGCTTTGGGGCACACCTGTTCCATTACACTCTTCTAGTGCAAGTACATATGCTGGCCTCAAACGTTTAGCTAATGTTCAATTCACATGTGGACCACCTTTGCCCCCTGGTCCATGTAGTCATCACCCTTGTTTGAATGGTGGAACATGCCGAGATGAAAATGACCCATCCAATATAGAGGGCTTTTCATGTTTGTGTGTTGAACGTTTCAATGGTGTTCGATGTGAAAGAGAGACAACTCCATGTGCATCCTCTCCGTGCTTGTACGGAGGACGTTGTATTGCTCTACCAGGTGGATCATACAGATGTGAATGTGAAGAAGGACTAAGTGGTAAGATTATATATCTGCTTTTGTAAACTTTCTCACTTTTTGCTAGCTTTTAATATTGTCATCTGCTAAATTTTATTGTCCCATGGTTGCACAATTTTTTACTCCCTCTTTATATTTTGAAGGTAAGAGATGTGAGTATGGACACTTCTGCTCTCCCAATCCTTGTGGCAACGACTTGCCCTGCAAAGAGGGGGATGAAGGTCCTCTATGCAAATGCTTAGTGGGTTTCACAGGAGAGTTGTGCTCCCAAGATATTGATGAGTGTGCGTCGTCACCTTGCTATAGTGGTGCGACTTGTGTGAACCAGCGAGGAACATTCTACTGTGTCTGTCCCATAAATATGACTGGTATTGATTGTGGTACTAGTGTCTTCCATACTTCCATAACATCATCTATTTACAATGTTACTTGGGATGAAATTCTGGGTTAGTATAATCAGTGATGTTTATTTTTCAAAAGTGATTTTTTTTTCTTCAATTGTTTAAGGGATAATAGAGATAATTTTGGTTACAGGTATTACAGTTACTCTCTTCCTCATCATCTTTTCGGTTGTGGGCTGTATCTGTTATCGTAGGTTTCGTATAAATAGACAAAACAACAGAGGTGGAAGTAACATAAATAATGGGACAAATAAGGATATGGTTCTTAATTCAACACGTCTCACAAACTCTGATTTTAAAAGAAGCTCTAAGCTGAGTAACCTAGAAGTTAGTCAGGTATGGTTTTTACACCATTAAAAATTTTGTACTTAGGTATTTTTTTTTTGTTCCACACTAATGTTTTATGATGTGTTCACACAGAGAGAGCCATTGACATGTCCTGCTCGGCCAGCGTCCTTTACTCCCAGCACTCACCATGAGCAGTATATTGCAGCTACCTTAAACAATTTAGATACTTTAAGGAGCTATGGTTCTGCCGGGGATGAGTTAGAAAATGTACCTGCTGATTACCTTCGTAACTTAAACAGGCAATCTCCTATGAATGTTGTAGGTGCCCCAATTCAACTCCCTTTGAGTGAAATGAGCAAGTTGAATAATGGTATGTATGAATGTGATATCAAAGATGATTTTGCTTTTTAGTAAGATGACTTGATAATTTTTAAAAATACTTTCTTACTTTTAGGAGGTAAGGCAGCAGAAGACTGCTATCGTTCTCCAGGATACCATTGGGACATTTCAGACTGGTCTCGACCATGCCAGCCACCACTTCCGAACATCACAGAGGTTCCGGGTAGTGAAGTGCCTGACTCCAGCAGTTTCCACAGTGATGAGAGTAATGAAGGCAGACCAAATCTTAGCGTCACATTACCCTCAAGTAAGTGTCATGACAAAAAGTTAAAACAAGATGTAATGTTCTTAGTATACTAACATAATTTCCCCATTATTATTTTCTAGTGGGTGAAACTATCAACGGCCTACGTGATATGGAAACATTAAACGAAGAAGACTGTGTTGATGACTCTGAGGACATTGATGCTCACAGCTATTTGCTGCATCCGAACAACAATTTGCCTCACAACCCACTGCCTGAGTCTGACGATGAAGATGTTTCCCCATACAGCTATAATGGACACCACCATCAACGAACATCTTTACTCAGAAGCCAAAGTGATCTTTCTACCAATTTGTGTGATATTGATGATTCTGAAGTTGAAGGGGCTGATATTCATCGACCATGGACTAAGGTCACCCAAACATCTGTATGACAACAGCATTGCTGGGAACCTCCCAGCTCATTCATGCATTTCAAAGACATGGCCATTGCCGTTTATTAGTGATTATGAATTGAAAATGAAATGCTTTGAGTATCCCCTTTAACTTTTGCTTTAGTCTGTAAGGTTTTAAATTAATCTCACAACCAAAAGAAGCCTTTTCTTGCATTTGTGGCTGTAAAAATAGGTTTCTTTTAAAGAATGTTTGCTAACTTGTTAACTTGTATATTTCGAAGCTAAAAATATCTATGCTGGGGCCATTAGAATGTGGTGCATCTCCTATTTTCTGTGTCTGATTAATATAATATCACTGGCTTGCCAGTTGAAAAAAATTCTACTTACATTCTTATTGCAGTATTAATTTCTTTAAAAGACTGCTTTCATTACTTTATCTTTGACCAAGTGTTTTATAATTTTCCTCTCTTGATGGAATTGTCAGTTTTGTTAAATGGCAAGTGAACTGTTGTAATCAGTGCCTTCTTGTAAAATGAGATCCCCCTCCATTAGCTTTCTAGTGTTTGATCTCATTCATTTCTTAAATTATTAAGCTTCAGTTGAGAAAAGAAAATTGTTTTGAGTGGGGTAGCTAGAGAAGACTGACTGTGTCATCAGGCAAACAGTCTGAACAGATTTGCCTTGTTGTACACCAATGTGTGATGAGAAACTTTATTTGGTTAGCCATTCAAATAATTGGAAATGAAAGGACTGATAAGGACTTTGGTTTTCTTATTATTTTAATACCTACATTTGAATTGGTCGTAAAATAGTTTATCTTCTCTGACTTGATCAAATTCTTGTACTGTTTTAAGTCAATAAAACAAAAACAAAAATCAGAATGATAGGTACTATAAAAATGATAAAAATATGTGTATTATATGACTGAAAAAGTTGAGTTTCCATAAATATATGGGTTACCCGAACCCATCAGTTGTTCTGTATGTTCTGAAATAGTAGTTACTGTATGAAGATATTTTCACCTACAGTTTAAAAAATATCATTTTATTTGTCATATGTCAATATTTATCTTCTGGCACCAGTGTCATTTCATTTTCCATCCCTCAGATCATAAAATGGGATATGTAATTCCATTTTATGTCAATGGTGCATTCTGATGTATGATCTGCTTATCACAGATCCAATGAGCTGTGTATGATACCTGTGCCAGTGCCAATAACTAATGACAATGCTAAATCTCTTTGTTAAATTTTGAAAACAAATGTTTGGTCTGTATTTTATCTATGTTATATCATGTTGTGCCATTATTGTAGGTATCTTCCTGCTCCATCTTGTTTTAAACCACATTTTACTCATTAATTTTTTAGTTGCTCTGCTCACTGCAAAGTGTTTCTTTCATTTTCATCAGTTTTTCCGCTTTTAAAACATATCCAGACCACTTCAAAGTTGCTCGTGATATTTTAATCTTTCATTCATCCATTTCATTTTCTGATGAGTTACCTGTTCCACATCTATTAATTTACCAGCA